CCCTAAAGGCTGGGGGGCATCCAGTGAGGATTTTTTAAGACTTTGCCCTTCATCACATGCAGTATTAATTGATATTCATTTATAAACTGTATGAATACGTGCTGAGCTTTATTATACCCTTATGGAGCTGAGTTGGGGCAGGAACAACAGTCCCCTGGGAAGGAATGAAACAGAATTAAGTAGGTATTTCTTTTGATCCCAGGCATGAAAAATACCAGAATACCTATTACAGGCACAGGAATAGAATCTGGTCAACAGTGAAGCAGCCTTCTGCAATCTCCTCCTCCTCCTCCTCTTCCTCTTCCTCCTCTTCCGTCTAAACACATCCTATTTCCCTGGTTCGGGACACACACACCCCAAACAAAGGTGCAACAAAAAGCATCTTTTACTGAATAACCCAATTAATGTATCAAACATCCAAACTGTTCTGTCACTGCATTGTTACCTTATCCCAAAGTACAAACCACAAACATTAACTTCATCCTTTTTGACAACAAAGGTAAATGGTAAATAACTTAATGTGCAGCCATTACCTGGATTTCTCCAGTTATGGGATGGGGACTCCCCTTTGAGACTTCAGCAGGCTGTCATTTAAAAACAAATAAACCAGCACTGGTTGTTATTTGTCTCTCTTTACAACTGGATTAGAATTATCACAGCATTCTTAAATTTATACAGTTAAGGGTTAATGAGTCATTCATTTGGTGGCTGAAAAATTCAGAGCTGAAATGAAACTTTGTAAAAAGGTGATATCTCCTGCAGTAATTCTGATTTTAATACCTTGTCTCAAAGGTGACTTATTTATTAAGAATTCCAGATTGATATATGCCGTAATTTATTTTATAAAAAGAACCTATAAACTTCAGAATCTCTGTGATCAGAGTACAATATTAAATTAGTGTTTCTGCCTACACAAATACACCCAAGGCTTGGGCCTGGGTAAACAGAGTGACTTACACTTCACTTATTTATTCAGTGTATATATGCTATCTTGTTTTCCCAGAGTTCAAAGCGGTTCACATGGGACTCCCCCCTTTATCTTACCCCCATCCCCATCCAGGGTCAACTGCTGTGTGTTTGTGTGTGGAGAAGGCCTGTGACCACAGTAAGAGGAGGTCTCCAAAGCCATCACTTAGAGGAATGAGTCCTCCTAATGCTTCTTCCTCCCCACCTGGCTGACCATGCAGAAGGCGAAAGAGCCTCTCAACCCACCCTCCATTCCTCCCCAGGGCGAAGTGCCTCCCTACCTTGCCGCTGTGCCGTTTCTTGCTCACCGAAGGGGAGCCAGGCTGCCCAGGGCTGGGCACGGAGCTGGAGGTGGCCGACGCTGTCCCCGAGTGCCCGTGGGACCCCTTCTCCACGGCTGAAGAGGCCATCAGAGGACCCTGCTGCAGAGAAACCTTTTGCAGCTCTGCAGCCAGTTGCTTGGGATCGACTCCTGGAGATTTCGTTTTATCCACTGCAAGCACCAGAATTCACAGTCAGCTCTGCATACAACAACACGATCCTATCTACCTACAGTTTGCTCAGTTTTTACAATAGGAGGAAACAAACTGGAAAATTTCCAGAAAAAAAATCCAGAATATTAAATCAAATAAATATTGGAATTTCACGCTTTGGGTTCCAGATAAACTGTCTCTGGGAAGATAGGAACCAAGCTGGGACGCCTGGATCAACCCATCTGGGGAGAAAAGATGGAACTTTCCTGCACCAAATTACTTCCACTTGAAACCTTTTGTACTTCTTTAAGAAAAGGAGAAATGGCGCATCTCGGGCTCTCCGGCCCTTTCCTCTGCACTCGCTACAAACCCAAAAGCTACAGGTTGTGTAAGGGCAGCCAAATCCTTCCCACCTCAGTTTGTCACCCATGTTAGATGCTGTCATTTACCCGTCTTTCCCGGCTCAAGCAATTCCATAGGTTGGGAATTCTCACCACCTGGCAGCAGGCTGACATTCCTGAAAGGAGGAAGAAGAAACCTAAGACAAAAAGAACCCTCTCCGGATCCCCAATGATCATAATCGGAGAGATAAATGAGATGAAGCAGCTGCAGAACAGGGATACTTCATGGTCTGAGAAGGATGACCCTGAGGGTAGATTTATGAATGGAAGAAATGTAGTTTACCCTACATACATACACCTGTGCGTATGTGTTAAACTCCTCCACCCCAGGAGTCTGAATCAGAGTGCTTTACAATCACCTATCTTTGAACCATATTCTTGTACTTGTAGATCTAGTAGATTTTCACAAGTTTGTTGAAGAATTTATGAATTCACTGAATCCAGAACTCCTTTTATCTAAGTGTAATGCAAGATAAGAACATTTTTGCAATAAAGAATATGCTGTGAACCCATTTAGTTTCAATGTTGCCAAAGAATTCCCCTCCCCCCCGAAATGGTGGTTGATTATTATGTAATTCAAAATGAGTCAATACGTTCTCTGATATTAATATTGTTTTGACACTTCTGCCTCAAGTAGGATGCAAAGTTTCTAGCCCAGGTTCATTAATTCCATTCCTTTTTATATCAGTTTGCTATAAGGAACAAGGAACGATTCCTTTAATACTTAAAATTACATTCATTTTCTTTTCATATCAAATATTACAAAGTGCAGTTTGCAACTTAACAACTGTGAATCAAGAAACCAGGAGAAGCCAAAAAATAATGGAAACAGCTGAAGAAAAACTCACAGTCTTACACATATTTCAGCTTCCCCACTCTGCAGGCCGATGATGCTCTGGACCTCTTCGTAGCTCTTGCCCGTCAGAGGAAATCCGTTCCACTCCAGCACCTGCATGCCTAGGAAAGTGGGCACGAGGCAAGTTCTGGGATCAGCACCACGGACTCTGGAAAGCTACCCGAAGCAAAGTCCCTCAGCTATGATGTGAAGCATAAATGCAACTGGCGTCTGATGTGATAGGATCAAAATCTTTTCACTGCACATGAGTCATGCTAATTTTAAATTCTGCTTACCTTGTTACCTTGTTTCCAAACTTCATGGAAAATTTCTGTCTCACAAATAAACCGAATGAAGAGGGAAAGGGGAAAAGGAAATTGAGGGAGGAATGGGGACCAACATGGACTTTTCTGTGGCAGGAAAACGCTAAATGGAGGCAGAGGCTCATACTGGAATGTGGGTGTACGTTTCATGATATTAAAAGTCAGTACAGCCAAATGAATATTTCCCACATAATTTTTCTTTCTTGCCATTATTTCGTACCTACACTGATCTCTTTTCATCAGGACCAGCTGTCCAAACAGGGTAGACTTCTATTCCACAGGGAGTAGACCAAACGTTTCCTGAATTCTGTCAGGACTAAAATTCCTGTTCTGGCCGAATGTGAGGAGATGAAGGGAAGCCACATCACACGTGCCTGTCTCTTCCAACCTAAATTCTTCCCAATGTTATCACCCAAAACCAGAAGCATACCATGCCTTGTGGTAAGACTGACTCTAGTTTTTATACAGGTAGTACAGGTAGTAGAATAAAAGATATTACTATACCTTAGTACAGGAATTGGAAGTATATGAGATGGAAAAGGATGTTCTAGTAAGGTAAAGGAGTTTGTATACTGAGGAAGTAATTGGACTGAAAAAACCTACCGTGCTATAAT